GGAGCTGACACGACGGCGAGAGAGGAGCAGTGGAAGTGAGCGGTGGCGGAGCTCTCGCACAAGCTGGTTCACGCTACGAGGAAGAGAGACGAGGCTCAATTGGAAGCCTCGAGGCTCAAATACTCCATGGCCGAGCTCGAGAAGAAGCTGAACAAGCTCGAAATCTACTGCCACAATTTGAAATCTGGGCTTGACGAATGTAGCGGCAGCAACAACTCGTCGCCGTACCAATTGGGCAAGTCCCAAATCAATCGACGGCGTAGTTTTGGTGGATTCAGCTCAAACGACGTCGTCGAGAAAGTGGTGTTGGAGAATTTCTTGGTTTCGGTCTCGGAGGCCCGGAATTCTATCAGGGGTTTGAGCAGGTCGCTTACTCTGCAGCTCCGGCACATGGGTTTCGGCAAAGTGTATGAGAAAATCTCCGGTCTTCTTCAACCTTACGACGTGAAGCTCTCGTGTTCGAAAAACCCAAGAAGCTTGCTTTTTTACCTGGAGGCTCTGCTGAACAGAGCCTTCTTCGACGAGTTTGAGTCAGCTGGGTTTCAGAAGAACTCGTCCAGCCAAATCCTGAACCCAATGGAGAGGTGCGAGGCGAACTACACGTCGTTTAATGTGCTAAAGGGCTTGACTTGGGATGAGGTTTTGATCAAGGGGACGAAGCATTTCAGCGAGGAGTTTAGTGGGTTTTGCGACAGGAAAATGAGTGAGATTGTGGCTATGTTGGCCTGGAACAGGGCTTGGCCTGAGCCATTGTTGCAGGCTTTCTTTGGGGCTTCAAAGAGCGTCTGGTTGGTGCACCTTTTGGCCAACTCGATTCACCCGAGCTTGCCCATCTACCGGGTCGATAAAGGGGTCGGGTTCGACCCGGTTTACATGGAGGACATGGGCGGAGACAAGGCCGGGAAGCTGGTGCCGTCTGTGGTTAGGATCATGGTGGCGCCTGGGTTCTATGTGTATGGGAGTGTGGTCAAGTGCAAGGTGCTCTGCGGGTACAACAGCAGCAACAAGGATTTGGTCCAGTCTCCATCTTAATTATAGTTTAATTAATCAAACTTTTTGAATTTTGATTAGATTGTTATACTTAATTTGCTGCTGTTTTGATCTGATTATGTGGTAATGATGGTTGTGTTACTTGTTAATGTTATGCGGTGTAATTTGGTGCTTGCATGGGATGTTAATTTTTTACATTTTGGGATCAAATGAAACTGGAAACTGGAAAGTGGCATTTTTTTTTTCCAAAATTTTGTTCTGTTTGTTTGGTCCCTTCTGATCTTATACTACTAATTATAAAACAACCACTAAAACTGTCTTCATCCAACGGTCCTATTTTATGAAAAGTGGGTAGAAAGAATCATAGAATTACTCAAAATATATAGGCTAACAAAGATTAAAGATGCTTCTCTTGTGAATCATTTTTGGATCTTCTAAATCCGAGTTGTGCTATATTTTAGTAGATATATGCTGAAACGAATTGCTCACGCTGGGGAGCCGACGAGTGAATGTTGATGCACGTCGACGAGTGAGGCCAACGAGTGAATATTGATGCATGTGAAGTTCATAATGCATCAACTGTTCAATTTTGCCTACGTGTATTTTAGCGTATCATGTGTTCAATTTTGCCTACGTGCATTTTAGCGTATCATGTTGTGCAATAATGAAGGGAAGCTAGTCTTCTGAGTATTGCAAGCACAGTACCCTATGGCAGAAGCTGAAAAGCACAAGTCGTTGTTGAGCCAAAGATTTTTGACAAGGAAATAGTGTATTCATATTCATATATAAGGAAATCTAGTCACTCCTTGGGATCAACTTCAAGCATGCCTGCAATTTCATTTTGGATTTTCTTTCACTGTCCTAGTATAAAATACACGGGTCAAACTTTCACGGTATACAATGTTCTTGAGGAGTGAGAGAGACGTTTTGATGTTTCTTTCTTTCTTGTTCTTTTGCTTTGTAGGGCTGATGGGGAGATAAAATTATCATTGGAAAAAAAGAAAATGTACTGGGCTTGGAGTTTGGTTGGCAAAAAGGCCAGCGTGAGTGGCATATATGAACTTTTCACGTGGACTTTCATATTAATCAACATAATCATTTTATTAAATTTAAGTGAGATTATTTTCCAAATAAATACTGTAATTAATATAAAGGTTCACATCTATAACTCGTATATTATACCCTCATCATAGAACAACTCCTCTATCAAAACCCCTAAAACCATTCCCTTAAGCTTTTTATGTTACGCAACTGTTATTGACACATCAAAAGCGTCACTATGCATCTATTCCGTAATTTTTACAAAAGAAGCTTTGTTCATGCAAATTATTCTGATATTTAAAATATACGGGAAAAAAAAAAAGATTTAAAGGTATGACGCGATGCCACTAAAATTTATCAGCTAATGATTTCTCCAGGAAGATTGTTCTCCACCAAGCTGAGATAGAGCGGAAAGGCACACATGATTTCTTGTGTTTCTTTGCCCCACTGTGCAGTTGTCCCTCTGAGACCATACAACACCGCCTCTTTACAGGCTGGAGATCTACAAGAATTTGGATTTCTCTGAATCACCCCATCATAACATTTCTCAGTTCCTCTGAGATTGGTTTTATCTGAAAATTTTGAAACATTAAGGCCGTTGGTAAATGCCAGAAGTGGCTCCAGCAGAGAGTGCCGTATTCACGTCTCTGCAATCTCATGAACGGCAATTGCTGATAAAAAAAAAGTATCTGCAATCTCATGAAGGACAATTGTTGATAAATAAATAAAAAGCATATGTAATCTCATGAACGACCGTTGTTCATTAAAAACTCCCAGATGCCAACTTCTTGGGGTGGGGTGCGATGCCAACTTGCGGATGGGCCAAGTGGTGGTTGATGGGGGCTGAACTGTGGGGTCTTGTATATATATATATGGCCTGGAGATCAGACAAGTGCCTCCGGGACACTCTGAGCTGCCACCAATGCCATTTCTTCAATTTGAGAACAAGGCCAATACTGGCACCTCCGAACTTATGGTACCTTTGTGATGTCGCTCTCTTAGCTTTCCGTTATGCATATCATTTTTTTAAGAGAATTTTTTTATTTTAAAAAAAAATTTGTGGAAAACAAATGGATTAGGGATAGGCTTATAAGCGTGGTAAGATTAAAAAAAACATTTGGGAACTAAACAAAGTAAATAAGGGATCCAAATCTAACTTCTAAAAAATAAGTGAGTAAGGCCAGTTATTTTTAACACGTGTTAAAAAAGTATAAGTGAAACGAGTGGATAATTAGAGTAAATGTGGGCCAAACAAAAAGTGAGATTGTATACAATGGGTAAGGATTTTACGTTAAGAATTGGTTAAGGACCTTTTTTTATTTTTTTGGTCGAAAGATGAAATTCATTCCAAGACCTCACCCAAAACGGGAAAGGCACAGAAACAACAAATAAAGCAACCCAGTAAGGAAACACAAAGAAACTAACTAATCAACAATATCATATAAACATGAACAAACAAACTGTCCAAGATAATGATATCATCATATAAACAAAAATAAAAATGACAGAGCTAACTGGATTAAAAACATCAAAACAACCCAGTAAGCAAAACAACATCAAGCACAACAGAAAAACTAAACCACAACAGATTTGCCACCATAAGCCTACTCTCAGAACAACCCTAAGGAAAGGGAAACAGAACCATGAGACATGAAAGAGGCGGTGCGAGCACTCGAGCCATAGTGGTGCCATGGCTCTATACAAATTTCACAATGTACGCGAGAAGTTGCATTTCAAGTTAGCTGTTGTAGTCAAGAGATGAAGCCAGATCGAGAGGGGAGAGAGAAGGTCTGAGTGATGAACGACATCAACCCAAGAAGCTCAATCTCCACTAAGTTCGAAATCACCAATACACCTAAAGGAAGGCAAGGACCAATCAGAGGATAGCCAAGGACAATGTTGAGAAGATTGGAAGAGTGAAGATTTAGGGGAGCACACATGAATAGAGACATGAAGCCCTACAAATGAGCAAGAAAACTCGAGCATGTCATTAGCTCTACACACAGAGAAAGCTTCGGGCCCAGCAAAATGGGGGCTAGAACATATGACGGAAGCAATCGAATAGGAGTTGGAGAGACGTGCGCGCAAGAGCAAACCTGAAAAATGCAAGTTTGGGCCTTGAGCTCAGATTTAGGCCCATGACTCGTCGATTCGAAGAGAATGACAACACGAGTAGAATTCACTGCTTTGCCATGATGTATGGGTTTTTTCAGGCATTCGAGATCGTTTAGTAGCCCAAAATCCAGTTTTTGTGATTGAGTTTTTGGAAACTTTGTTATATTTCCTATTTTAAATCCTTGTTTATTCCTAGGGTTTCTAGGGTATTTAAACAACTTTAAACCCGTGGTTAGGGTTATGTTATGTTATTCCATATTATCAAAAAAACTAGAGGTTCCCTTATTTCTTCATGGTGGATTCTAGAGTTGTGTGTTTTAAGCCTAGAGCTTGTGTGTTTTAGGCTAAAGCTTGCGTGTTTTAGGCTAAAGCTTAGTCATTCAATTGTCACATTGCGTTAGTATCCATATGCTTCGAGAGGAACCTCAAAAGAGAAACAAAACAATGTTGAGAGGGAATGGGGAGGGGCCTCCCCCTCAAAGAGATAAAACGACGCTAAAGGTTGGGTGACCAATTTTCGCTAGGGTTGGGATCTCAGTCATTCATTATATGTGAACTATTAAGGTAAAAGAATAGTTTTTTTTTTTTTTTTTTTTTTTTTGACTCAGGTGACAAACAATGAGAATACTCTTAAATAAGAGTATAGATATATGCTGCTAATTTTCAAAAAAAAGTATAGATATACGTGAATTTTTATTGTCCGACAACTTTTGTAGATGTTTATCAAGTTATGAAATTACCTATAAGATGACTAATAGTGCCTAGAGGGGGTGAATAGGCAAATTAAAAATTATAATTAATAAATAAAAATAAACTTCAGTGACTTGATTGATATGGCTTATCAATCCTGAAACATGCAGAACATAAAATAAAGAAACACACATAGAGTTATTTTACGTGGTAAAACCTCACATCTGGGGAAAATTCACGGGACTCCTCAGTCCAAAACAAATCCACTACAGAACGATGATTACAAGAAGCACTCACACACTTATCTTAGACACACTCTAGATCATGTTGACTGATGTCTTTGTAACTCAACTTTTGTCCTGGGATGACCTACCAACTCTTCTTATGTTGAACCTGATACTTGTCATGATTGGTTCAAACTCACTGGAGAAAAACTGTCACCACGGTCTTGGTGCCCTCAATCGTACGAGTTACCAATGAATGCAATATGAATGATAAAAGTGTTTGATAAATCACCAAGTAAAATATGGAACACTTAATAATTTATCTCGAATAAAACTGCAGTTTAAGCATGCAAAATTGATGTTCAAAAGTTGTGAAAGATGAAGAAGACAAAGGTCTGCTTTTATATGCTTTTTGCTCCACCAAAAAATAAAACCACATTCAAAAAGACGAGACTGATTTTCACACAAATAAATTCAATCACCAAAGATTTTTGTCATATTCTAAAGTTAAGGAACTTGTGGTCCAATCAATAGGAAAATAAAAACCCAACAAAGGAAATTTATGATAATCCCACCATTAAAAGAGTCCTAATATTTTTAGGTCAACTACCAAGAATATCTCAACACATTTAATAATGTGATCCGATTAAAACTTGATTTGCAAGTGAATTACTTAAAAGATAAGTAACAAATCATGAATGAAAGAAAGAAAAAATAAGGAAAAAAAAGATGTTGCAAAATATACCTAAATGAGATGCACTCCTAAAAGGATTCTAATTGATTAAAATCCAGGAAGATCACTGAAATAAAATTATGTTAGATTCCAAAAAACGTTCCTATTATGAGTGCATGAAAAATGATATGTCTTACCCTTCAGATCAAATGTCTGATACGTGTTAAGTCACAATTCTGAAATTCGAGGATTGCTGAGCTGTTTCAATCCTGTAGTTTCTGAAAATTAGAGACATCAATTTTGCTTCAACTTTACAGCTAAATGACACTTCCAAACTAATGCTAAGTTCTAGAAAATACCAACACAGTTTCATACTAACAAGTTCACTATGTTATATTGTGGTATAGATTAATCATATTTAATTGTCTTGTTAAACGAGGGTTTGCACGAAAGATGCAGAAAGAATGACAAGAAGCTTCACATCTAAGTCTTTTTTAATTTATTGGAATAAACCACAAGAAGTTGACAGGCCTGAAAAGCATTCTTTTGTATGGTAACTACTAACTTGGTAAATACCTGAAATAAATTTATTTACAATTTTACAAGGGTCATTGTAGATTCAACCGAACGTCATTTCTTTCTTTTTTTTATTTATTTTTTTGAAATATAAAAATGCATGTAAAAACCAGAAATGCCAAAAAAGAAAAAGAAAAAGTGAAATCTTCGTCAAAGCCACAACAACAACTGCAGCAGGCATAGAAATTTCCAAATTTTCCTCTGAAAAATCTCGACAACAACTACAAGAAAATAAATATAACAAATGAGAAGAAGAAGGGATCAAGTCTTTTCTTTTTCTCAATTTCTCTGTCTCCCTTTCTCTCTCTTTCTCTCTCTCTCCTCTTTCTTTCAGCCAAAACGCGAAATGTATATGCCGGTTCAACATTCCCTCAAAGTCAACACGTCACCACCCCATTACCTTCGGAATTAAAATCATTCATTTTCGTAATTAACTTCCATTTGAAGAAAGAAAACTAGAAAAAGAAAAAAGAAAGGCAAATTCCATTTTCTCTCTCTCTCTCTCTCTCTGTGCGACCTCCACCACTGCGCGATCTCTCTCTCTCTCCCTCCCTCCCCGAGTCTTCCTGCTCGCGAATCGATCGGTCTGGAAAGGAAGAAGAAGAGAAAGGAGAAAAAGCTAGGACTATGTCGTTCTCCGACTCGGATTCGTCGTCCTATGGCGGCGACTACAAGAATTTCAAGCAAATCAGCCGTGACCGTGAGTTCCCTACCTCTCCCCCTTACTCGTTGTCCTTTCAATTCACTTCAATTTCTTTGATTATGCATTTGAATAATTAGTGGCCATCTTATTCAAGCTGTAGGTAAACGAATTTGTGTTCTAATTGGTTTAGAGTTTATTGGATACTGAATGATTTTAGTGATTTAGTAAAATGGCAGTAGCCGTTCAGAAATTAGAAGTTCAATGAATTTATGGAGTTAGTAATCTGTGACTGCATCTACAATTGGTAATGGATGAACTATAAGGTGAGATAGCTAGCTTATGCTGTGTACAATGTGGGAGGACCAATTATCCGTTGTGGTGCAATTTGCACCAGCTAGGGCAGAGTGTATAGGTTGAAAATCTTGTGATAAAGTTCAGAATTCTTTTATAGGGGTGTTGACCAGCTTGTTCTAAAATATGGATCATCATTACCTGTTTTTCATGATTGTGGAGAACTCATTTTGGATTACATTCATTAGATAAGTTGCTGTTACTCTTTATGATTGATGCCGACGACATTGTAGTTTTGTTATTATAAATGTTGTTAGATATCAATATGTTAAAATTAGAGTTTGTTGTGTGGCCATTTTCTGACAGATCGCCTGGTAATTGATCTTTTTTGGTTATTTGTCCCAAATTTTATGTTTAGGATTATTGATTGAAATGCTTCGGTCCTGCAAAACGGGGGACTCAAAAGCAACCTGGAAGGTAAATGCAGCTTATATTACGATGTCATTCGTGGTAGATATATGCACTGCTTGTGATTATTTTGGAGGATTCATGCCCCCTTTTCTCTCTCCACACGCATTTGTATACATGTATATCTATTATGTATATCATGCATCTGTCTTTTGATTTATAAATTGATGTGCAAATAATTGAAAAGTGTTTTCATATATTGCATATAGTTTCAAGTAATATAGTTGATAATTTTTTTTAAATTTCTGTAAGTTTAGTATTGTATTTGTAACTTTTAAAAATTAAAAAAAAAATTGTATCAAAATAAGTATCAGGA